TTCGGTAGCGGTTATTGACAAGATGCATACGGGAAACTCGTCCGAATTATCTACGACTCACTGAGGACGGAGGCTTTTTCTTCTAAGATTTGCCCGGCGCCGCTGAGGACGGAGGAAGACCGTTTCACTCCGTTTCTTTCGTCATTTCACCACTATATAGCGCCCTACTAGCATATTAGGCTAAGTAGGAGACTGCCTTTGAGTACCAACTGGTTTGCACGCAACCCTTCACTACGATAGAGGATGAAAAATTGTGAACCAAATTCACGGAAATAAGATTGTTTTTGTCATACCACCTAAGAAAAAAAGTACTCAGCTTGTATTTCATCCATTCGTACAAATGATTCATACCTTCTGCACCTCTTCAGGCTTTGAACATCCTCGAAACATACTGTTGGGATGATCGTCACAGCACCATTTTTCAGGGATTCCATTGATTTCATACGGAGCATGATACTCAACATGACGGCCCCTTGTCAGGGCATTTTATCTAAACCGCACTTATTTTGATAAATAAAAAGATAAATTCCCGAGCTATGAGCGTGCATAATTAATAAATAATGAACAAATAAACAAATAAATACTACTGGAAACAATAAATAAAGGAGAAATAAGATATTGACGTGGAAAAATGCGCTACCGGCTAATTGCTGTAAAAAAAAGTGCAAAAAGAAACATTGCAATAGCACAGACATTAAATGTAATGATATCTCACCGCACTGTATAGTGTGACCAATCCTCAGGAACCGTTTCTTGCGATGCTCTGCCAGATTTGTGCATTCCGAACTCCAGTCCGAGTTTTCGTAACCAAAGTTCTTCCTGCAACAAACAAGCAGATAGTAGCAAAGAGACTATCAAAGTCAGTGGTCAGCCACATATACAACTGAAGGTAACTATTACATTACAAAGATGCTCTGTTATGGACAAAAGATTTTCTCGTGCAGGTCTCGAACCTGGACCTCACGCTTACCGAGTTACCATGCTCAGGACAACTCAGGCCACTTATTCCTATTAGTTTAAATAAAACAAGTCTAAGAGTGCCTTCACACTTTGCACCTGCATTTTGCGCGCCCGCAGCATTCACATCGACTAGCAAGGTACCGTATTAATTACTGCAGGAAACACTCATGGACGCTAAAAATGTTGATGCTCAACGCTGCTGAACGCCCAGAACGCTCAAAATGCTCGCGGACGCTCGAAACGCCGACAGCCGCTTGGCTGTTGCAGAGGTGAATACATTCTAAAACTATGAAATCACTGAGCACTACACATATAACTGTACGACCTCGTAAGACGTATGATTTGACTACAACGCACTAACCAAAATGATTTGATGCCGCTTGGACCATCACTGCCGGCCAGATTGATGTCCTTCCAATATTGTTCCATGTGGTCATTCATAGCGCGAAGCAAAGAAAGATATTCTCTGAAACACAGCAAAAAATAGCAACCAGTAAAACAGTAAAATAACAAAGGACCAACAACTTCCTAAACATGATTCTTGAAAAATTCATAGTCAGCCGATCGCAAAGCCCCAAGCTCCAAGGAAGAAACCTTTAATCAACCAGTTCAGTTTCTCGGAATAGCTTTTCGACGTGAACTCGACCTGATCAAACGTAGTTTTCAAGTGCAGTTTCAAAAAGTCAGAAAAACTGCTAAAAAGGTTCACGACGGACTGCTTATTCGCAGGGTTTTTTGTGTTCGCTCTACTGTGACTCCCGAAATTCAGTGGGTGTTGAATTGTCGATTCCAAACAGAATGCTTTAAAGACAACCCCGCGCGCTCAGTACATGGTCGTCCTTCCTTGTGCAAGCAGTACAGCCCAAGTTAGAGACTGTCCCACTCTCGCAACTCCACAGCGAGCGATTAGCGAGCTACAGCCGCTGAAAGTTCTAGTTCTAACGCCTGCCCAGTTGGACCGCCCACTTGCTAGATGTCCTCTGACGGAGGGCCGCTCAGTTGTTCTTTGTTGGGGCGGCGGGCATTAATTGGAATTGCATGTCCTTTTCGCTGACAGCGCTCGTGCCCATAAATGATTCTGCTCTCCTTTATTACATTTTATTAATCAGGTACAGATACAGTGAACTCCAACACATCTCGCAAGATAAAACGCGCAAAAATCACGAGCGACCCTATTTTCGTGGTGCAAAAGCTCGGCGCACTTCACTACACTAAATATGCAGCCGCTACTTGTATACTGTGACCTAAATTCGGTTGCGTCGAGTTTCTGAAGCGTTTCTTCTTTTCAGCGCTTTTTAACTCTTTGCTTTTTGATGTATTTTTGTATTCTTTCTTTGCTTCGGTATATCGACTACTGCGAGATGTATAAGCGATTTGTGAGCCAGGGGTTGCACAGAGACCGCAGGGAGGTGTGACTGTCAGGGAGCGATTTTGTTTATGGTGTTCTTGAGGACTCTTCTTGCTTTTTTTCTTCTTTGGGGAATTACTTATCAGCTACTGTTTCATAACTGAACAGCAACTACCCATGACACTTTGATCGCGGGAGTTGTCTTTAAGGAACAAAAAATAAAATAAAGAATGAACAAAAGAACAAACAAAGAACAAAAAAAATGCCAGTAGATATTTGAATGCATACCTTTTATTTTCGAAACTCTGCTTATTGTGTGTTGGTTCCAAAATGGAGTACGGCACGTCTACCACTCCAACAACACCAAGACATTTCCTTAAAATATTTTCAGTCAAAAGCTCATGAAAAAACAACTTGAAAAGCAAATAACGCACAGAACGTTTAGGGGCCACTTGCCGCTATCCAGTGATGCGGGTACTTTTTGTTGTGATCGCTCAAGGAAAAGAAGCCTAGAAGTTGGCTATGATTCTTTTGGCGGTGGCTTAGGCACGCGTTTGCATAGCGTTACGACCATGAAGATGCAAGAAATGCAGAATACTGGAAAGAAATGCGGAATCTGCGGAAATGACGAAAAGCATTGTATACATATCGATTTCGAAGAAATGCAGAAATGCCGAAACTGCAGAAGTGCGGAAGTGCGGATTCTGCAGAAACGAAAAGCAACCGATACGTATCGATTTTCCGCACATTCTGCATTTCTGCATATTCCGCACTTCTTCACTTTCGGCATTTCTGCATTTCTTCAAGTCGATATGTATATGATGCTTTTCGTCATTTCCGCAGATTCCGCATTTCTTCATTTCTGTATTTCTTCATGGTCGCAAGCCATGAACGAGGCCTGTTTTGTAAGAAAGGTCATTCAATTAAGCAAACTCACATCATCAAATCATTCTTTTCCTTTTGTACTGCTGCTTTCACATACATTTCAATCAATCTGCCGTTGTTATATAACATGCAACCGTATCGGTTCCTTAAAAAGTAGAGTTTAAGATCCAGTCAAGTCCACACTCAGTTTTGCTATGGAAAAAAATTGTAACCTATGATGGATGTTGAGCCCAAAGTAGAACGTCAATGGAATAGGGTTATTTTTAGCCTGCAAAATAGCATTGCTCGCCAATTAAGAAAAACTGAAATCATAGGAAACTGGTGTCAAACTTTTATACCTTCAGCGCCAATGATGCACGCTTCTCAGCTTGTTCTTTCTTCGCTTCCATATCGGCTCGAGCCCTATATAGGACATATTACTCTTCCACAATACAACTTCTAAATGCACTTTAAAAACGCACTTTGCAAGCAGCCGCTGCTCTATTCGAAGGGTCTTATTAGCGTGGATATTCTGACCACGGTGCTTTGCTTCAAATTCGCCAAGAGCTGACGAAGACAACCGAAGCATTTCTTTCACTGTGCAAAATCCAAAATTACAGTTAGCTTTCGCCCTAAACAACTAGGTTTTCTCCAGTTATGATCGGAGAGGAGGAGTGCGAAAAAGCGCCACGACGCCCAGCCCTGCGCCCGCCCCCGCCCTATCAGAGGTTAATCGAAATTTTTTTTACAAATATAACCCAAGAACCCCCATTAGCGTAACCCTGCAATTCGGCCATTTAGTCAATTCTGAGGAGGACCTTTTATTGGCCCATACTACCGCCTTCGTCACTAGCTATGCACGTATGTAACACCACGTTACCGACTAATGGGCCAACCGATGGCTGCGCATGGAGACGATTTCCGTGCTCCTGATACGAGTCTCTATACAGTCTGTAACGAAAAAATCTGGATTAAATATCGTCCTTGTCCGCGAGCGGTTATGCTTGTCGTTGGGAGGACCCTAATAATAGTTGAGGGGGGGGGGGGGGTGCGAGAATCCGTGTTTTGATTGTTGCTTCGAGAGGAGGGTTCATATAGGGGTGGGGTCGTATCTGGCTTCAAGGTTTTTTCTTCGTGTGCGAGAGATTTTCTTTGAAAGCTGACTTGCTAACTTTTCGCGGCTTCTTTCTCGTTTCGCATGGGCTATATCACCCCCCACCCACTCTTCAAAGACAGAAGTTTGGGGGAAACCGAAAACTTCAGAAAATTCCAGAAAAAGTGGTAGAGTGAGAAAATTTGAGGGGGAGTATCTTGCTGAACAATCCCCAGCAACAGGACGTGCCCTGATTACAGTAGCAATTATCCCATGGACAGCAGTATCCTGTACTTTGGAAGATCAAGGTACGACAACAAGGTTAAATATGATCTCCAACTAAGTAACTGACCGGTAACAAATAACAATTTGTTCCATTGTACAATGTACCCATCTTTCACTTTTTGTGTCGCGATCTCTCGAATTCCTTTGTAGGCACTGCTTTCAGATTTTTCGCTGTATAATTGTATCTATACGGGTATAATAAAGTACTCAAGATCCTCTTTGTTAACACTTTCTTGCCACGAAGATAGACCTAAAACAGGGGTGTTAAGTGAGCACAGGCTCTTCTATGGAGCGAGAATAGTTTTTGTACCTTCATACGCGGGTTGAGATAAAGTACAGACAAGTAGGCTCTCAAGGAGTTGCGCTCCTCCTCCCTGAAATACCAAGCTAGTGATATCGACGAAAAAGTGGCTAGAAAATCGTAGTCATAGAAGGAACGGTGCTATCAGAGATGAAGCAGTTGAGAAACTAGATCACGACCACACTAGTCGTCACGGTACAGCCCTTGTAGAAAGGGGTTACCATCTCGTTGGAAGGGTGAGCACAGATAGGATAGTCGCAGCAGCAGTGCCGCCCCCCTACCCATCCTTTTACCCCAATTTCACTTTTCACTTACGGGATAATACTCATGAAAATCACAGAATACTGCTTTCTTCGAAGGTAAACATACCTTTGCTCCTCAAAATTCGACAGTCGTACATCATATGGCGTATCAAAGTTTAGTTCGAAATCACCAGTTTCGATACGTCTCATGTTGAACAGCACGATTAGGGTACCTGATTGGCCACTAATACGTTCAAACTGTTCAAAAAGTGCGTCCTGAAATTTGCACGGTATTATTGGAATACCCTAATAGAAGTGAATCGATGCAGGAATACAGGAAAATCATTACCTGAGAATCAAAAGGCGTGTAATTGTAGATCACATCCATCGATTGAGAGTGCTAAAATAAAGAAAATGATAACATCATCAGATAAAAATTAGGGGAAATCGAGGAGGGAGTCTTCGCACGGGAACGATCGTTTTTGCAACGCGGCCCGCATTCCACTTCCATTCAGAGAATCTTGGTGACTTATTGGATGTGACTTAAACCATTGTTTTGTCGTACATTTCTACCTATGTCTATTTCTTCTTCTAATTATACAATGACTTGCACAGGCCAGTCGCTGTGAAGTTAGGGTTCTATTTCTTCAGATGAATCCTGTACCAATTTACTGTCCCCGGATGGTAGACGGCTTGGTTGGCCTGGGAACCAAAGATTATATCCCCACCCCAGCACTGGCGTGTTAGCGTGCCACTTGGCCCCTACATAACCTCCCCGCCTACACAACGTACCAAATATAAAGATAGAAAACACACAAAAAAATAATATACAATAAACATTTATATGAAGACATATGGGGGTAAATGCTTAAGCTCACCGTGTTTGCAACAGCCAAGATAACAATTAAGAGGAACTCGGCCGTGTGGGTCTTAAATAACCTCATTTTAGAGCGGAAAGGGCCTAACGGCAAAAACCCATCCATCATACGCGGGAGGGTTAAATCTCGGTTCAGCTTCTGCCTGGGGCCAACAACTATTACAACCCCCGGGGCCGGCAAAGTGCTCCAGATTTTTTGGAGGTGCGGGGGGGGGAGATAAAAACGTCTGGGCGGCCTGTAAGCACTGATGGACTAACAATTGCCTTCCAACACCTTTCGATTCCGAATAGATCAAAGCAGTTCTCCTTTTCCAAAGGGACTTATCAACGCACGCGAAGCTTTGTGCTTTTTTCTTGGCTCACTCAGTCTCCTTTTCCGTTCTCGCTCGCACCTTGTGGTCACGGACACATCGCATCAAGAATGATCAAGAATGCACGCAGTGAATACTTACCATCTTCGCCTGGGTTTGTGAATCACAGTACATAGCACGTGTACCGCCTTCCAATGTGAATGACGCGACTGGTACGAAAACCTAAAAACTTTACTACAGAGAACTACTTTCCGTTTTTTCCGTAGACTTTCGTTCGACTCATGCATTTATTCATACAGTCACAAAATCTTCCTACTGGTAGAATACAGTGAGCACATGCGAAACTTCGATTAACGACACACCTCCTTCAATGAGTACATTTCATGAAACGTTCTTGATAACAACAAACACGTCAGCAACCCATCTTTCTTCGTAAACATGATGAAATCTTTGGCAATACGCATCGCACCGCTGAAATTCGGAAAGTAACAAAAAAGAACGAGTTAAAAACTGTTAAGCACAGGTCGGTAAAAATCGATAACACATTCCGCGATTGCAGTTCATAGATCAGGGTTCACAAGGGCATTTTCAGGTGCTTATTAATCCACCAGTAAAGGAGAAAGCTGATACAGCCGACGAAAACGTCTTAATAAGGCCCGGCCGATTCCAAGAACAACTAAATAGGCGCAGATATGCTCAGCGCTAGCATGAGAGACCGGAAAATCTACAGGATAAAGACTAAAGAAACATATAGGCATAGGGCATCTACATACTGTCAAAATCAACTAATCTGAAGAAGGGCAACCAACCTAAACCACAACCCTTAGCGGTCCTAGCACGCATTTTTGAGTGGGAAAAATGAGACAAGCAAGAGGTTACGGACCTGTAAGCTCAGAGCCCGTTCATACTTCGCGATCCAATCGCAGGGATCGCACGATCGGACCGCAATTGTACCAGGACAGGGACGCTCGAATGTTTGTACCCCAAGCCGATGGCACGCTATCATCAATCGCTGGACGAAACTCGGTGGAGAATTCAACTGGGCCATACAACGTATAAACGGGACCAATCACCCGTGCGATCGAAGCGATCAAATCGCGGAGTATGAACCGCACTCTTATCAATCTTATACGGGGAAAAGATTCCACCAACTACGGGACCGTGAAATGGGCTGCCTTTAATATCACTTACGAAGCATTCACTCACGATTTTAATCCATTTCCGTATTGTCCAATCATACCCGGCTCCATCCTTTTGAGGGAATGACCAAACGATACCACAGAAATAGCCTATAACAAGAAGAAATGAGGTAAGGCTCAACATTCATTTTCGACATTTTTATTGAGTTTTCTAGGAATGCATTTTAAATACCTCTTTTCTATCCATACCGCATCCGTCATCGAGTATAGATAACATACCACCGTATTCTTCATTTGGAGCTAAAATAGAAACTTTTTCTTGCTGTTCATTGTCTTGCGCACATTCAATCTTGCACTTCAATGGAAAATATGAATAAAGAGACATTGCAGACGTGAAATAAAAAAGAACGAGCTTATTTAGCCTTTGGGCTCAGAGTGCTCTAGGTACTTAAAATCATTTTGCTTTTTTGCACAAAAGGCAAACAAAAGACCTAAATCCACTGACCTAGACACTCGTCTAGTTTTTGGAAAAAAAAAACCTCCATTATCATATCCGTTCCCCGGCATCTTACAGTATCAAAAGCACCACCTCTCCAAAGCGCCACTATCAATAATGAAAAGTGAGAAGTCATTTTAGATGAGAACAAATCTTACTGTAGTCGATATGTAAATTGTTTGCCATAGCATCTCGAGAGTTGTCCACAAGTTCAGCTATAGCACCGTAGACGAATTCGTGAGTTGTACTGGAATTTCATTGATTCTAACTGGTGGCAATCAAGGAAGAGGAAATATTGAAGTAAAATCCCAAAAAACGCATCTTTATTTGCATTGAACACGGTATTCGCTTCTGTAATCCCCTCAGCCCTAGGAACAGAAGTGGCGGTTTTTCAAAGCACCAATATGAAAAGCATGCGTAGATGACCACCCTGCTCGATGAAATCTCAAGGGTCGCTAAGAGGATGAAGGGAACGGAAGGGGGGGGGGTTGACGAAAATGCAATAAGCTTTCACCTACTTAATATACCCCTGAAAGTACTCCAGATAAAGTGAAACATAGAAAACAACAAGCGTTTGTAGAAGGAAAATGCTGAAATAGTACCTGTTTGTGTGCAAGTACTCATAGCTGATTGTCGCCTTGTGAAAAATCGAGGTGTCGAAACCCGCACCGACGGATTCGTTCGAACCCGAATCGGCCGACGTCATTCAACCCTGGAAATTGCCCTAAATGGAACTGTACACGCAAAATCCACGCTCAATACAAATCAAAGAAATTTAAGAGCGTTTGTAGAGGACCCGTAAAAAAGTTTCAGATCAAATCAGATACATACTTACGGATAAAACTAACCGAAAATTCCAAAACATCTGGACCAATTTCACACATTTATTAGCACACGATATGCACGTTCCTACACGTAGTAAGCAGAATAATTAAAATTACGTTTACAACGACATTTGAATACAAATGCAATTTGGCATCACCAATTACATTATTAGCTCATAATGAATATATGACAGTCAAAAGTGAAACAAACAAATAAGGAGGAAAAATACAGCAAATTGGACATTAATATAACGAACATCTATGATCATCTTCAAAGCATAGAAATCTACATGGAATAACTGATTTGTTTCCAACTCACCTCACCGTTTCCAGACCGACATGAACCCGTCAACGACATGTAAAATAAACAGTTTGTTGGTAATCGTACAAAGCTGTGGGTATATATCGTTTTGCCGACGACGCAGTCGGAAGTTTTGTATCTGCCGAGGCACCAGCGACCTTTACTCGGTGGCTTTCTTTTGACATTTACTCAGTCATCCCCTCCAACCTTTATAAAGTGATCAATCTTTTCTGGAGCACTGAACTTTGCAACTTGCAGATGTACGGAATACAATCCTGACCCATACAATTGTGTGTGGGGCAAGCTGAAGTTGAGACAAGAATTCAGAAGCAAACATTATGATCTTCAATGATGAGTAATCACGCGGGTGTGCCCCCAATATGCGAGCACTGGGTCATTTCAAGGCTCTCTTAGGCTCTGCCCTTGTGCGGGTGCCTACCTCGAGGGGATAAAACGGCAGGGGCACCGCCTAGACCTAAGCTTAAGCCGTAACAGGGCAGGGACAGGCGCGCATGCAGTGAGCAATCTTATCTAGCACCTCCCTACCCTTTTCTTCCCCCTCCAGGCAACGGTCCGTTACTCGTTAAGGATTAGATGACTGTCAAGCAACACGTTAGTAACGAATAACCATTTCTGGCATATTATCGTCAATGACGTCACAAGACATGCCATTATCGTGTTGTATGACGCCAGTTACACATCCTCTACCCCTCAGCAAGGAACCTATTGGACCACCTACCGCTGCTACAACAGCCTCCCCAATTTTGTTCGCGCGTTTAAAGCACATTGAACATCTGCTTATCCCGGTTCTTTCGGAAATCCACTGCACCAGTTGAACCCGAGCTTTCAAATGAAAGCTATTTTTGATTATATTCAGAATTATCACAACCTTCAGTATACTCTCACAGCCGGGTGAGAGATACTCATAGTAAGTTCTCAGAAAGTGAGCAAGGAAGGATACTTCAATTCTCAGAGTTTTGTGAAAATAATCAGCAGAAGGATTACAATAATGGCTACCGTTTGACAGAATATACAATGCATTTTCTTGTCGTTACGTTGATGTTTCTCGGCTTTCTTCACGCTGTCTACTGCACGAGAAACACGAATCGACGCCTGTTCCACATTATAGTCGATCCTTGAAAGCAGCGATTATAGGCCGTTGCTGGCCACCTTTCAGAAAAAAACACCACGTGACAACTTTTTCACCGACAGAATGCAATATATAGGAGTTTTCAGGGCAGTTCGGCTAGGGGGAGGGGAGCACTTTGCACTTTCGCTGCCTCCCACTGTTGCGTCGAGCCTCAAGTAGAGAGCTGCGAAATCACGCGAAGCCACACAGTGATTCCCGTTAACGTTTGTGAGAAACGGCAAATTGTCAGCTCTTACTTGACGGCGACGAGCAGGACAATGGAACAAGCGAAACTGCCAAACTGCCTCCCCCTAGCCGAATGCGCTGGAATTCAGGACTTAGTATTTGCTCCAGTAGGATCAACCATATTGAAACTAAGGGCGCGATGAACATCAAAATGATAAGCACGAAAGTAGAATTCTCACCGGTCAAGAATAGTGCCCTGGTCTACGACCATTGTTGACAAATCCTTGAAGAGTGTATTCAGTTCTCGAATGGATGAATTAACCACCAGAACCTTCAAAGGAAAAGGATAAATGAAAGAAGCTGCAGTCATATTCACATATGAACACAATGCAGTTGCGCACGGGCTTTGTAATACCTGTCATCCTCCCTATTCTTGGGTTCACTGATTTTGAATGTAAGTATTAACACTATAACTGCAAATGCAAGCAATTAATGATGTATAATGGCAATGGACGAGGCGAAATTGGTGTAACTGCATCTGGCGCGCTTAGCATGCGCACGGTTCGGGGTTGAAACTCGGATCGGCTCCAGCCTAGGGCAACCGAGCCTTAAAACATTGCAGGGGACGATTAACTGGTGACCTCGTTTTTCAAGAGAAATAGGAACAGCTAATTGAAATGGTCTGGTCCCCGCAGTTCATTGTATGGGCCGCAATAAGATACTACGATTCCTAAGAGAAGTAGAATGCGTGCCGCACTCAAGAAAGAAAAGGGAATAATCAGCGGCAAAGACTTTAACTTTATCATATCAATGATTTATAAATCGATGTGGACCCGAAAAAGACTAACCATAAAAGGAAACGTCTTGGAAAGAGCACCTCAGCTGCATATGCATTAGCGATAAAGAATAAAGGCTAAAGTCTTCGTCGTTGATCAACCTTCTTGGGATGCGGCACCGCACACCACTTCCATAGAATCGTAGTGGCTTATTGAATACGATGTGTCCTATGCTGTGACTTATAGGGGCCAGCTGCTGCACAAGTCAGCGCCCTCATTCCCCAGACGAATATGGCAAGAACCTTTCCCTCGAGGGTAGAAGGCCTGGTTGACCTGGGCTGGAGGCGATCCGAGATTTGACTCGCGGATCGCGCGCGCGATCTGCCCACTTGCCACTACACCACCTCCGCCTCATCCGTGATATAATTCGACGAAATATAAATAAAAAGATACGACATGTTGAACTATTAACATATGTCACAAACATTAACAATCGAAACTACTGACTACTTGAAATCAAGCTTGCTTGCTCACCTCCTTTTCTCGCTCTTTTACAGCTTGTTCATTCATCATCATCTGCTGAATTTGATCCATGGTATACTCTCGCGACGGCGTTACGTCAACAAGTTCACCCCACTGCAAATCATCGGACTGCCCCGTGGTGACCAGGAAGTTGTCGACATTGCTCGTTCGATTCTGGAACGTCGGCCATTTTAACCACATTCTCTATATTACTATGTGATTTCATAAGTTTCATCAGGATCGCAGAAAATCGCAACTAAATGCGGCCGTGCTACCGCACGATGAAGCCACAGAAAGCTCACACAAACAACACATACTAGCTGAGTATTACTGCCGTTTGGCCTCACACACTGGCCGCCATCTTCCTGAGTTTTCAAATGTGTACTGCCTTGAGAGCTATAAAGCGCGCCAAAACAAATACGCTTGCCGTTGGAGGGAGGCCAACGCAGAGCAAAAAAAAAGCCGGCAAACCCAGCCCCCCACTCGTTCCCGGAGCACCTGCCCGCTCAAAAAACGCAAGTGTCTGTAGCGAGCAAGACTGTACACTACCAGAATACTCTAGCCCACGACTAAAATATAATCTACGTTTTCCTACAACTGTGCGCCAATGGATCATATGCCACAAATATGCCAAATAAATAGCGATGGGTTATATGGTGTATGCTGAACAATTAGCACATTAATGCCTTTACAATTGATATGAGCCAACATGAAATGACTAAAACGAAAAAAACTGAACGGCGATAATATAAAAATCATATCCATGAAATCCACCCAAATCAAATGAAAACAGAAAAAAGAATTTTGCAGCGAAAATTATGCCTAGAGAACAAAACCTTTATGTCCTTCAAATACTTTGACTGGCGTGTACGGAATTCATTCGTTAACTGACTTAACGTGAAGATTAAAGCCGAAACTGTGTTTTCACGCAGCTTTCTCTCAGAGTTATTCTCCATCCGTGAACTTTGTGTCGAGATCATGCTGGAAAAAAATACTATAAAATACAAGCAGAAGGACTTCTCTCGATTTACTACAAACCTTAGGTACAACACTACAGAAGACGCGTTGGTCTCAAGATTCATACTTGAATTTGAATGAAGCCAGCTAGCTGACACTCAAAAGCACAAAAAGTGACCAAAATTGGTGTATAACCATTTTAGCATTCCGAATAAATACGCCTCCCCCAAGCCTCTTCTCGGTGTGACCCTGTTCCTTTTCACGACCTCTCTCCATTCTCAACAACTCTTTCCTAAAAGTTTGCCATGAATTGGGGGTAGAAAGCTCACATACGAACTAGTTCTGCTGCGCCAACAACTAAAAAGGAAGGGGGAGGGGTGAAAAAAGAAAGGCAGAAAGAAGGGTGCGGAGAAATGTTGTCAGCGTTGAAATATGATGGTCCGCGTGCAACGGCAAGCGCTTTTTCCACGCAATTGGGTGATAGTGTTGTCAATTTAGGGCACGTTTAGAAATTATTCCCTAGTGTTCTCAACAAGCCTAGGAGAGCCAATTAAGGCACATCGCCGTCTTACACAACGCTGCAAAATGACTTAATATGCTGGCTTTTCAAACAAATCGACTTATGGGGAGATCTTCTTCCGGATGGCACGACCTTTATGCAGAAAGGATAATCATAATTCTGCTCACTAGAGGGCGTGAATGGTCTGAAGTTGGCTAAAAGTCGTTGCCATCCGAAGCGATTCGCCCATAAGTCCGAGTTTTGTTTGAAAAAGCAGCAATTATAAGTCATTTGACGTTGTGTATGACGGCGCTGTGCTAATTGTCTCTCTCTAGGCTTTGTTTGAGAACAACTAGGGAATATTGTAAAGTGCGCGCTAAACTTGCAACATATCAGCCCATTGCGTGGATAAGCGGCTTGCGCGTTGGCAGGCGGGACATCATATTTCAAGTGAAATTTCTCGGCGAAACCTTCTTCTGGCCCTTTGTTTTTTTTCACCCCTCCCCCTTCCTTTTTAGTTGTTGGCGGCAGCAGAACTAGTTCGTATGTGAGCTTTCTACCCCCAATTCATGGCAAACTTTTAGGAAAGAGTTGTTGAGATATGGAGAGAGGTCGTGAAAAGGAGACAGGGTCACCCGAGAAGGCTTGGGCGTTATTTATTCGAATGCTATAATGTTATACACCAATTTTTGGTCACTTTTTTGTGGCATCTTTGAATTTCAAGCTAGCTGGCTTCATTCAATTCAGTGGAATTCTGAGACCAACAGTTTCTGTAGTTGTTTGTACCTAAAGGGTTGTAGTAAATCGAGAGAAGACCTTCTGCTTGTATTTTCCAGTATTTTTTTCCAGCATGATCTCCACACAAAGTTCCCGGATGGAGAATAACTCTGAGAGAAAGCTGCGTGAGAACACAGTTTCGGCTTTAATCTTCACGTTAAGTCAGTTAACGAATGAATTCCGTACACGCCAGTCAAAGTATTTGAAGGACATAAAGGTTTGTTCTCTAGGCATAATTTTCGCTGCAAATTTCTTTTTTCTGTTTTCATTTGATTTGGGTGGATTTTATGGATATGATTTTTATTATCGCCGTTCACTTTTTTCGTTTTAGTCATTTCATGTTGGCTCATATCAATTGTAAAGGCATTAATGTGCTAATTGTTCAGCATACACCATATAACCCATCGCTAGTTATTTGGCATATTTGGCATATGATCCATTGGCGCACAGTTGTAGGAAAACGTAGATTATATTTTTAGTCGTGGGCTAGAGTAATCTGGTAGTATACAGTCTTGCTCGCTACAGACACCTGCGTTTGTGACTCGGAGGTTGGGAACTAGGGGGGTGGTTTTCGGCGGTTTTTTGGCTTCCTGCGTTGGCCTCCTCCCAACGCGCAGAGCGTAAATTTGCGCTACTACTAGCTCCAAGGCCAGTACCTCACATGAAACTCAGGAAGATGGGCCAGTGTGAGGCATAACGGCAGTAAATACTCAGCGTAGTCATGGTATTGTTTGTTTGAGCTTTCTGTGGCTTCATCTGCCGGTAAGCCACGAGCGCATTAGATTGCATCTTCGCGATCTGATGAAACTTATGAAATCACATAGTAATATAGAGAATGTGGTTAAAATGGCCGACGTTCCAGAATCGAACGAGCAATGTAGACAACTTCCTGGTCACCACGGGGCAGTCCGATGAAATGTTGCCATGGGTGAACTTGTTAGACGCTAACTTCCGTCGGCGAGATATACATGACAAATTCCAGACAGATGATTGATGAATGAACAAGCTGTAAAAGAGCGAGAAAAGGAGGTGAGCAAGCAAGTTTGATTTCAAGTAGTCTATAGTTTCAATTGTTAATGTTTGTGACATAGGTTAATAGTTCAACATGTCGTATCTTTTTATTTATATTTCGTCGAATTAATATCACGGATGAGGCGGAGGTGGTGTAGTGGCAAGTGGGCAGATCGCGCAGCATACGCGAATCAGCGAGTCAATCTCAGATCGCCTCCAGCCCAGTCAACCAGGCCTCACTCTACTAGGAAAAGTGTCTTGCCCATAATTCGTCTGGGCATTGAATGAGCGGCTAAATGTGGGCAGGCAGCTTGGCGTATAAGTCACAGCATAGGACAGCATGTATTCAATAAGCCACTACGATTCTATGGAAGTGGTGTGCGGTGCCGCATCCCGCATCCAAGAAGGTTGATCAACGACGAAGACTTTAGCCTTTATTCTTTATCGCTAATGCATATGCAGCTGAGGTGCTCTTTCCAAGACGTTTCCTTTTATGGTTAGTCTTTTTCGGGTCCACATCGATTTATAAATCATTGATATTAGATAAAGTTAAAGTCTTTGCCGCTGATTATTCCCTTTTCTTTCTTGAGTGCGGCACGCATTCTACTTCTCTTAGGAATCGTAGTATCTTATTGCGGCCCATACAATGAACTGCGGGGTCCAGCCAATGTTCAAGTTAGTGTTCCTATTCTCATTGAAAAACGAGGTCCCAGTTAATCTTCCCCTGAATGTTTAAGGCTCGGTTGCCCTAGGCTGGAGCCGATCCGGTTTCAACCCCGAACCGTGCGCATGCTAAGCGTGCTAGATGCAGTTACACCAATTTCGCCTCGTCCATTGCCATTATACATCATTAATTGCTTGCATTTGCAGTTATAGTATTGATACTTACATAATTAAATGTGAACCCAAGAATAGGGAGGATGACAGGTATTACAAAGCCCGTGCGCAACTGCATTGTGTTCATATGTGAATATGACTGCAGCTTCTTTCATTTATCCTTTTCCTTTGAAGGTTCTGGTGGTTAATTCATCCATTCGAGAACTTGAATACACTCTTCAAGGATTTGTCAACAATGGTCGTAGACCAGGGCACTATTCTTGACCGGTGAGAATTCTACTTTCGGCTTTCATTTTGATGTTCCATTCCGTTTCAATATGTTGATCCTATGGAGCAAATACTAAGTCCCTGAATCCAGCGCAGTTCGGCTAGGGGGAGGCATTTGGCAGTTTCGTTGCTTCCCATTGTCCTGCTCGTCGCCTCAGAAGAGCTGACAATTGGTTTCTACAAACGTTAACGGGAATCACTGTGTGGCTTCGCGTGATTTCGCAGCTCTCTACTTGAGGCTCGACGCAACAGTGGGAGGCAGCGAAAGTGCAAAGTGCTCCCCTCCCCCTAGCCGAACTGCCCTGAAAACTCCTATATATTGCATTCTGTCGGTGAAAAAGTTGTCACGTGGTGTTTTTTTTGTCTTAAATGGCAGAACGGCTATATCGCTGCTTTCAAGGATCGACTATAATGTGGAACAGGCGTCGATTCGTGTTTCTCGTGCAGTAGACAGCGTGAAGAAAGCCGAGAAACATCAACGTAACGACAAGAAAATGCATTGTATATTCTGTCAAACGGTAGCCATTATTGTAATCCTTCTGCTGATTATTTTCACAAAACTCTGAGAATTGAAGTATCCTTCCTTGCTCACTTTCTGAGAACTTACTATGAGTATCTCTCACCCTGTGAGAGTATACTGAAGGTTGTGATAATTCTGAATATAATCAAAAACAGCTTTCATTCGAAAGCTCGGGTTCAGCTGTGCAGTAGACTTCCGAAGGAACCGGGATAAGCAGGGGATCAATGTGCTTTAAACGCGAGAGCGAACTTGGGGGCGCTGTTATAGCAGGGGTAGGCGGTCCTATAGGTTTCTTGCTGAGGGGTAGAGGATGTGTAACTGACGTCATACAACACGATAATGACGTGTCTTGTGACGTCATTGACGATAATATGCCGGTTTATTCGTGACTAACGTGTTGCTTGACAGTCATCTAATCCTTAACAAGTAACGGATCGTTGGTAAACCTACTTCGGACCTGGAGGAGGAAGAAAAAGGGTAGGGAGGTGCTAGATAATGATTGCCTCACTGCATGCGTCCTTCCCTGTCCTGTTACGGTTATGTTAGGTCTAGGCGGTGCCCCGGTGTGATCCCCTCCCTCGAGGTAGGCACCCGCACAAGGGCAGAGCCTAAGAGAGCCTTGAAATGACCCAGTGCTCGCATATTGGGGCACATTCGACAGCTGAAACTACACACTCTTCATTTGAAGGATCATAATGTTTTGCCTTGTGGAATTCTTGTCTCAACTTCAGCTTGCCCCCCCCCCCACACACACAATTGTATGGGTCAGGATTGTATTCCATACGTCTGCAAATTGCAAAGTTCAGTGCTCCGGAAAAGAATGATTACTTTATAAAGGTTGGAGGGGATGGCTGAGTAAATGTCAAAAGAACGAGTAAAGGTCGCTGGTAGCCTCGGCAGATGCAAAACTTCCGACTGCTAGTCGGCAAACTCGATTTATAATCCAGGCACAGCTTGTAATTACCAAAAACTTGTTTATTTTTACATGTCGTTGACGGGTTCATGTCGGTCTGGAAACGGTGAGTTGGAAACAAATAATTTATTTCATGTAGATTTCTATGCTTTGAAGATGATCATAGATGTTCGTTATATTAATGTCCAATTTGCTGTATTTTTCCTCCTTATTTGTTTGTTTCACTTTTGACTGTCATATATTCATTATGAGCTAATAATGTAATTGGTGATGCCAAATTGCATTTGTATTCAAATGTCGTTGTAAACGTAATTTTAATTATTCTGCTACGTGTAGGAACGTGCATATCGTGTGCTAATAAATGTGTGAAATTGGTCCAGATGTTTTGGAATTTTCGGTTAGTTTTATCCGTAAGTATGTATCTGATTTGATCTGAAACTTTTTTACGGGTCCTCTACAAAGCTCTTAAATTCCTTTGATTTGTATTCAGCGTGGATTTTGCATGTACAGTTCCATTTAGGGCAATTTCCAGGGTTGAATGACGTCGGCCGATTCGGGTTCGAACGAATCCGTCGGTGCGGGTTTCGACACCTCGATTTTTCACAAGGCGACAATCAGCTATGAGTACTTGCACACAAACAGGTACTATTTCAGCATTTTCCTTCTACAAACGCTTGTTTTTTTTTCTATGTTTCACTTTATCTGGAGTACTTTCAGGGGTATATTAAGTAGGGGAAGCTTGTGGAATTTTCGTCAAATACACCCCCCCCCCTTCCGTTCCCTTTATCCTCTTAGCGACCTTTGAGAGTTTCATCGAGCAGGGTAGGTCATCTACGCATGCTTTTCATATTGGTGCTTTGAAAAACCGCCACTTCTGTTCCTAGGGCTGAGGGGATTACAGAAGCGAATACCGTGTTCAATGCAAATAAAGATGCGTTTTTTTTGGGATTTTACTTCAATATTTCCTCTTCCTTGATTGCCACCAGTTAGAATCAATGAAATTCCAGTACAACTCACGAATTCGTCTACGGTGCTATAGCTGAACTTGTGGACAACTCTCGAGATGCTATGGCAAACAATTTACATATCGACTACAGTAAGATTTGTTCTCATCTAAAATGACTTCTCACTTTTCATTATTGATAGTGGCGCTTTGGAGAGGTGGGGCTTTTGATACTGTAAGATGCCGGGAAATGGATATGATAATGGAGGTTTTTTTTGTCAAAAACTAGAGAGGTCTAGGGTCAGTGATT